ATCTTCTCCTTCATTGCCAATATTTACTTTAATCAGAGGGTCTTGTACTTGAGCGTATCCGGGCTTGATGATCCGCATTACTTCATCGTCCAGCTCCCTTGTAAGCACTTCTTCTTCTAAACAATCCACCTTGTTGACTTCTCGGCCAATACTTTGTTCCAATTCGAATACTGCTAATTTGTCTTTCAGCGTTTTCAGGGCTGCCTCTTCTTTCGCCTTGTCATTGCATTCTTTATTGAAAGCCATTAATTTGGCTTTGAAGGCCTGAATATCGGCCATTTGCTCTTGTTGTTTAGAACTCATTCAAGACTCCTTAATTATTCTTTTGCCAATTACTGGCTCTTCTAGGACCATTATATTTGGCGTCATCTGTTTGAACATTTCAGTGAGTATGTCCACTGAAAATGGCTCTTCGCTCTGTGCGACAATTTGAGTTTCTTCCCCATCTTGTACTATCCTGACAGGTCCATAGTTTCCTTCGTACATGAACTTTCCACTGAGTTTGCTTTTGCGACAAAAAGCCTATGATCGGCCTGCACCACCTCTGCTTCACCCTTGTTATTCCAAAAAAATCAGGTATTGATGGAGAGATGAGGGTATACAGCGACTTCCGTGTATCCAATCTCTTCCTAGTAACACATTGTAACTAGTATGACCATCTATTACAAAGAAGACTGTGGTCCTAGTAGTTGTACCTATAGTTATGTCCAATGGCATAACTCCCTTAACTGCAGTTGCTCCTCTATTGAAACTTGTAAGGATGACTTCTGTTGGAATCATATCCCCTTCTGTCTTTGCAAATTTCCTCATCATCCTAGATGGAATGGTGTTTATAGCTACTCCATTATCGACAAGCACTTTTGCCACAGGTATGCCGTTAACTAGAACTTTAACGTACAACGGCCTCAAGTGTTTAGTCAATTTCATGGCTGGCCGTCTAAAAATAACCTTTTCAGCAGCCTCTATTTCTACTTCCTGTTTGTCTTCTGTTGAGTTATCCTTTTGTGATAAGTCAACATACAGCATATCGCACTGAGCCTCTGTCTCCTGAATTTCCTTTTTACTGTTTTCTGATGCTTCCTCTTCAATTACCCAACCTATGGGAGGAGGTATTATTCTTGGAGGCGATCCATACTTTTCAGAATGAGGCACTCTCTTCTTTCTTTTGGGCGTCTCGTACAGCACGTAAAAATCAAAAGAACGCCCAGATGGTTCTCCCAATAAGTCTACTTCACGAACTCCCTCTCGATGTAGTTGTTTCAACAGAGTATTGTGCGATACTCCTCTTCTTCTCCTTTCTGCTTCCAGATCAATTTCCTCTTCAATGTCTGTCATACCATCATCTTTCTCATCATTGTAGGCCTCTCTAGAAGTCTGGCATTCTTCATATTCCAGCACGCATGCTTCTCCTTCGTTATCCTTTCTTTCTTCTTCTTCTTTTTCTTTATTCTTGAACTCATTGGCTAGTAAATAGTTATTAGCCATAACAGGAGGTAACGTACCGAACTGAATAATAAGGGGCTGATCTGGATCTTCTCCATCCTTTCTGTCTCGCTCAAACTTCGATCTCCCAGAAGAAGTTTCTGGCAACTCTTTCATTGATTCATCTGTACCAGTCTCTTCGCTATCTTTGAGAACATTTTGATTGGCTACTTTGAGTAATTTAGGCGCCTTAGGACGTAGCACTCCCTGTTGTTGTCTCATCATTCGTCTATAATTTCGTTGGAAACGTCTTTGTTGGGTTCTAGTCATCTCGTCGAAGGGTATTGCCTTTCCCGCATTATACTGGAACGAATGTCATACATTTGGTCGGCGAGGTTGCGGCCTGAATGTTCTCCCATTATCTACTGGCCTGAACTGCCTCTCAAAAAGCGGTCCCTTGTAGAACGATGTGCCTCGCTCTCTACCAGGCTGAGCATTTGGGAAGAGAGTAGGGCGATGGGGATGCTGCCATATCCCTGGTTTCTCCGTATTCCCACTCACTTCTCTTTTACATCTTGCACACAAGACGTCTTCATCCTTCTTTGGCTACTTCCCTTTAATACGCTCAAAGACACTGGGATGTGGTCCAAGATCTTCTTCTCCATCATCTATAACCAATTTGAATTTTGGTAACTTGTTTTTGAAACCAGACGTCACCATATTCACTCCAAGTGGCTGTGGAAAAGGATTTTCATCCACTGCCATTTTCTTCTTATCATCGAACGTAATTCGTCCTGATTCAATGGCATCCTGTAACACATGGCGAAAAACCAAGCAATTGTTAGTCAAATGTGATCATGCATTATGCCACTTGCAATATTTTTTACCCTTTATTTGTTCAGGGTTTGGCAATTTATGCTTATCGCTCAACTTTATCTGCTTATCCTTATATAATTTATCAAATATAAGGTCAGCTTTGGTTACATCGAATGAGAACGTCCTAACTTTTACATTTTCATCTTTCATAGGCTCATCCTTACCCGATGGCCTAGGCTTAGCCATTATAGGACAAGCATACGTGTCTCCTTTGACTAATTCGGCCAAACATATTTTGGTCTGATCGTATGACTCGTTATTGATGGTATGAACATTAAAATTTGGGTCTCTATAATAAGTCCCCTTGCTAGAATTTTTATCTGCTCTTCTTCTCTTATCAATCGTTCATACCTAATCACGTTCGTGCTCAATTGGAAAAGGTCAGGAAATTCCTTGTCTTGAAATTTCTTTTTTAAATCAAAACTCAAACAACCTTGAGCGATTTTTACAAACTCTTTTTCGGGCAGAGATACAAAACATTTACTTCTTGCTGTCTTGAGCCTTTTGAGGAAACCTTCTGCCCATTCGTTTGGCATTTGACGTAGGTTTGCCAAATTGGCCAAAGTAACTTCAGACTCAGTCTTATAAAACTGAGCGTGGAATAATTGTTCCAATTGTTGCCATGTTTGAATAGAATTCGCTGGCAAATTGATGAACCAGGAGAAAGCTACTCCTGTTAATGAACTAGGGAAAAGTCTCATTTTATGATAATCAGTTACGTCACCACTTTGCAGTGTGAATCGTCCTATGTGTTCTAGAGTAGACACCTCCCCTAAACCGGTAAATAGTGAGCATTCTGGCACTTTATACCCTCTAGGCCATAGATATGCTTGGTCTATCCAATCAGGATATGGCTTTGTGTAGGTCGACCTAATAACAGGACGTACCCCAAAAGTCATCTGGTCCTGTACGATTTCCATAATCTGATTCCTCAACATAACGTTGGAGTCATATGGAATCCTTATAGGTTGGTTGACCGATTGATTTGCTTGAGGCCTGATATATTGGTCCTTGATTAGGAATAAAATTACCATGATTTAGACCATTGTTACTATTAGCCTGAACATTTATTCCCTCATTAATGCGTGGGGTATTCTGCCCGTTATTTAAGACATTATCTCTTACATTTGGATTACCCCCCAAATTAGGCGTACCACTACCATTATTCTGATTTGGTATTATACCATCCCCTTGGTTTGAGGTAGAGGGACCGAAATGTGGTTCTACCCCTTGACTTGGATTTAGGACTGGGGGATTATATCCCACAATTGTCCTAATTTGAAAATGGTTTGCAAGAGGCATAACTGGTTGATAAATTTGGCCTACTAACTTATTCATTATTTCATTCAAAGTATTCAGTTGTTTGGCCATGTTGTCATAATGTGCATTCCCATTCTGCGTAAATCTTTTCATATTATGAATATTTCGAAGATTTACCTGTTCAACGACATCTTGTATGAGTTCTCCAAGTAGTGCACGCATAGTTCGAGGACTCAACTCTGCCATCGATTCGTAACGACTGCTACTGCTCTGATTCTGTCCATCTGTTCGTGGAGAGCTATGCTGCTCCTCATATCGCTCGATCACAGACTGGACTCCTCCCTGACTTGCTGCTTCCTTGTCGGATTTCTGAGGCATATTGTTTCACCTTTTGTATTTTCGACACCAAACACCACTGTCCCACTAGGCGTGCCAAATTGTTTCGTGCGGGTTAGTCGCTAACAATTAAAAAGGGATCAGACGATTGTGTAAGGGACAAACCTCTTGAGACAAAATCCCAAAAAGGGGTGTTTTTATTGGCGATGACTTTACAATTGGAAAATAAAAACAGAATGCCTCCAAGGGGAGCAAGCACACGAATTACTGTAAAAGAAGTGTTTAAATCTAAACTAAAAAATTGAAAGTTACATATTCTCTGTTTGAGAGTGTTGAAAGTGTTTGATTCACGCTCCTTTGCTTTATGTATTTTCTTCCTTTTATACTCCCTGGATGATCTCTTCGTGATTAACCGCTTAAAAACTGCTTGATCGCTCTATAACTGCCCACTTTCCTTGTAGTGGTCAACTTGTCATGAAATTGCAATCTCTAACTGCTACCATTATTTTTGTCGTTCAACCTTCTTCAATTGAATTCCTTGAATCGTAGGACATGGTAGGACTACTCAATAACTGCTTTATTAATTGCACCATAACATCTTATGTTTGCTAAGATGTTGGGCGACTCGAATGTTTGGACGAGAGTAGGGTCACAGCTCTGGGCGACTGCATGGCAATTCATTCGCTCAAATCTTGGGCAACTTGCAACTTGGGCGATGGTATTACCGCGTTCATGGGCTTCCCTTATTTGGGCATTTATCCTGCATTGCCTAATTGATTCGTTCTTTGGGCTATTTGATTTTTGGGAATCTTCCAGTTGAGTTTCATTCCTTGAGCTATTCGATTTGAGCTGAACTTTTTGTGTGTCAACATAAACATTAGCCATTTTGAGTCAGTTATATTTTTACCATTGAACTAAATAGCATTCAGGCTCCTAAACTGGACACGGACAACCCGACAAATTTCTCGTCAGCACACTCAGATTGAAGTGAATATAATTCAACGCTTGACGGAGATTATTCTTTTTGAGTTCAAACAAATATTGTAACAATCGAAGCATTGTCCGCATCTCACCTGCTTCATTGGGATCTCCGAAACATCACTTTGAAATGGACTCGTCTCGGCATTTTTTCTTCTTTTATCAGTTTTTTATCTGCCGTAGTCTAAAGGGGAAGAGGAAGAGCATTACTGACTGATGTCTGTAAGTGTGTGTATATTCTGCCTCCTTTTTATTGTTTCGAATTATGATAGTCGAAATTTATCGTGTATAAGTCCATATTTCTTTATTTTCCAAATTTGATTGCATTCATAAAATCTTTTTATCGTGTTTGGTACTTTAAATGGTTGAAACTAAGGAATATATAGAAGTTCAGTTTGAATTCACTGAATTGCGCTCGCCCGACTACAAATTCTTTGGCTAATTCGTTTTGAGCTACTAACAAGTTTGGCGATGAAGAAAACATGGTGTTCTATAAATAGAAAAAAAGTTAGGTAAGTGAAGGTAACGTGGTTTGAATATAAATTAACAGAAATATGAGTTAGGTGGTTGAGACAATTTGCATGGATGCTTTCATTCATAATTAGCATTACGATCTCACTAAAACACTTCAGAAGACAACGGGTAGGGTGAAACTAATGCCTCAAATAACAAACTACCGTATAAAATTACTACTGCAGTTACTGAGTATGAATAACATTTCTCGTATTTTTTTGAATGCTTCTCTAATGAATTGTCTGAATCAGCAATCACATGTACCTAAGTTTGGCAATTGGGATGGTGATAACATACCATATACTGCTTACTTTGAGAATGCGCGCATAGAAAAAGTTGGTGGAATGAGAATTAACCCTAATGATCCAGAGGAAAATCCGGAAGCCTTCAATCTTGGACAGTTTGGAGATGGAAATACTAGCATTCCTGTCCGCATCAGTCCTGATAAGCCCGTGACAACAAAAAAATTTCATCGAGTACAACAAAAAGGTTCTAGTCACAAGTGTATTGGTTCAGAATCAGGCAGTGATAGAAACATGACTGATAATACATTTGCTCAGCCACACCACCAGAGTGGAAGATCTGGACGTAATAATTCTTCGACTGAGAGCCAAATCTCACCATCACAAAAACAGAGTTATGTTGATGATTTTGTAAGTACATAGTTTCTAAGCTTTCATGACATAAAAACTTAGTAACATAGTCCAAATAAGTGCACAAAATGTACTCATCAAGTAGCTATATCCATAACACTACTTTTTGTTAGTGAGAATAGAATTTTGATCTGACAACGAAAATAATTTCCTTTGACAGTCTCAAAGATCAGTGTCTGTTCCAAAATTTGGGGGTTGGAATGACACGGACCGTAGATCAGGAGAAGGCTTTACTGTCATTTTCAACAAAGTGAAGGAGGAAAAGCATATAGCAGCAGCAAAATTCCCTCCGGCGCCCGTACAAACTGCCAACAGTCATTCAACCAGCCACAAAAAGGCCACGAGCACAAAGGTACAGCTCCTATTTGGCCAGATTCTTCTCTAATTCAGCTTCTTCTTCTTTTTTAAATTCATTTTCGTCCGCACATTTTTCCAATAAAAAATTTTTACATGTAAAATCATAATTTTCCCTACTTTTTAATCATTTTTTTCAAAAATATCACTTTTCACGAAATCTACTTTAAAAAAATCTACATCAAACATGTCCCAAATTTAGTTTGAAATCGTTATCAAACATTCATTTAAGCTCAGTAAATGTTGGGAGTTGAAATTTGAGTCGCACGATAGGCTTTTCCGTAAATCTTTTTTTCTTTCACCAGATAGAATATAATAGTGTAAGTGTTTATAACTTGTATAGGATGTCCAGTTTACAAGTTTGATTTGATATTTTATCTACTTGTCATCCTTTCTGTTGGTGCAGAGATGTTGCTGCCTGTTTTGAAGGGCAAAACACCGATAAAATTTGCTGTACTGCTTCTGGGGACCTATAGCCACAAAATTGGAACTTTCAATGCTCCAAGTGAATTACAAAGGCATTTTGCCATAAATTTTCATTTTTTATGCATATTTTAAGTCTGTAAGAATATATTTAATCCTGCAGCTTTTAAAAAAAGAAATATATTTCAGTATATATCAATCCGGAACTTGTTAGAAGCAAATCATCCACACATACACGTATCCTTTGAATGGTTAGGAAACATTACTCTGGGATCTTGGATATATGCTTAGATTTAACTGAACATGTTATTTAAGGTCACATATTTCCACCTAGAATCTTGTCAAATAGCATTTTTTCTTACTCGAATAATAAACCATGAAGTGGAAAAGAAAGAAAGAAAGAAAGAATATATATATATATATATATATATATATAACAACCTTCTAAAATTGAACTTGAATCAAAAGAAACAACACACCTTCATCTTCAACGAGGCCTGTGTCTCAATATTTATCTCAGATTCATTTACATACACAACCCCAGGTTCCAATTTGAACAAGTTATTGTTATTCAGTAAGTAATAGTACATATACAGGTAGCAAATTAACATTCAATATCACACCATAGTTATCATCAGCCCCTATATAACGTCTATACACATGATAGAAACATGAAAACTAAAATAAATTAGCACAATAAAATACCTGCCCAACTCTGGCTTCTAGGTCTTTGAGACATGTACACGGATGAAACAAGTGAATTCTTCAGCTTTTCATCCTCTAAGCCACCATTCATATACATTTGTAGATTTTGGAGAGAATAAGGTAGTGTTGTGATCCTTCTCTTGATCAAGATCAGGCTCAACTATGTACTTGTGACTTGCAAACCATAGTTACAGAGCAATTCACACATCTATACAGGAATCACGTCACTATTCTGGCTTTCATCACACGTCAAAATAAGGCCTTCCATATAGGTTGGGAGAAGGCAACAGGGCCAACGACAGCCTGTTGAAACAGGTTCTGCAGGTGGAACAATCATGAGTACATTATCATACCGCTGGACGACACCCATGACACTTACTGTACTTCCTTCTTTGATGTAGCTGCAAAAGAAGAAAGCATGAAATCAGCATAACTTCAAGAAGGCCTGAGGAATGGACAATGATCACTCTTAGTTCGACTTTTAGGCCCTCATTTCAGTCCTGAGAAGGGTTTGATATTTTGAAGAAGGCAAAGAAGTTTACAGCGATTCCGATTCTCAAACACTTAAGGTACCGTTTTCTATAGGTAAACAATTCAAATCCATTCACACAAGAACTGAAATTTTATGACTTTGGAGTGTAGATAAGCTGTACTTGTGGTTTCTAGCTTCTTGCCAAGATGGAGTCCAAGAATAATTTCATATTACCAAGTCAGAACATAATTTCCCGCATTACATTGAAAGAACAGGATTCCAGAATTTGGTCAAATTACCAGGATAAGTTATCATTGATAAATTTTTAGGTTTCACAATCCATTGCATAGTTAGAGACACAGAAGTCTAAAGATGTCAAATGCCACTCATTGAAGAAGCAAATACATGTAAAAACATTCCTTGCAGGACCATGATATAGTCAATAGTTTACCCTTCTTTCAGACGCATTTTACGGTCATCACTTGACAGACCTCTGTCAGCAAGCCAGCGTAGAAAATTCGGAGATAAATCTTTGTTATCCTTTGACACATTGACAACTGTAGTTGGCTTCACAAATGGAGCAACCTTAGCTCCATAGCCTGCTTTCACTAGAGCTCTTAAACCAGACTGAAAGTCTGATATATAAAAATCCGCCACATGCTTCTGTTGACAGAACGAAACAATGTAATAAATTAGCACAGTGAACAGTTTATACTTGTAATAATTCAAAACTGGGACACAGGCCTAGCAATAAGTTAATATTAAAATCCAGATAAACATTCCAAAATCTCTCCATCAGTATCATCAAAGCATTTACATCCTAGCATCTTGACGGATAACGCCTTAGGTTGCTGACCTCCAAGGTCCAATACAGGAAACCCACCGGAATGAATGACTAAGCCTATGTTTGGCTCATATTTATAAACACTCATGCCACTTTTTATCCTTATATTTTGATGGAGCCACAAGTACTATCTACTTATCCACCACTCATTTCTATTTTAACTGTTTATAAACACGTGAACATGCTTAAAATTTTGCGAAATGTGGAGGTGCCATGGCAACAATGTTTATCTGCAAAGGATGTAGAATGGGTGCAATGGGACTCCCAAAAGTGCTTTCTGGAGTCTAGTACCATCATCAGCACAACACATGTATATTCAAAGCAATAACATCTAAAAATAGGAACACGTTAACTAAAAATTGAGGTCCTTGAGCGTATGGGGAAAATGGTGCTGCCAATTTTCTGTTCACATTAAAGCTACAGAGGTGTAAATAAAATTTCAATAAGATTCTACAAGTTCAAAAAACTGACCTCTGAATGCCTGCATACCCAGGAGAAGAAAGGGTGTCTCGGTTTTGCTGGTTTTCCACCGCATCCCCTGTATTCATACAATTCTGTGGAAACGAATACACATCTTGGTATCCTCTGGAAAGAAGATTCAAGAGGAATGCTACCACAAGTGACAACCTAAACAGTAAGATTTACGAGCTAATTAGTGGGGGGAAAAATTAATCCAACCAGTGGAAGAATGTCAACGATTTTTAAGAGAGCAGGAAGCTCCAGGGTGGGAGGGGCAAAGAAAAATATAGTATCCAGTAGATTCCAGGAATTTTTAAGCCAAACGCATTAATTATTGGTTTCCGTCCTGTTCATTCTGTCCATTCTGTTACCTTATAGCATTGTTATTTTGAAAGGTATTTTATTGCTTGTTGCATAGGAATACCAGCACTGTGGCCATAGAACTCAGGCAACACTCAAGAGCACCACGTCCTGTATCATAATGGACAACACTTTTACAAAGAACATTCCTGATTTTCTAATAAAAACGTATACATTTTATTCTCTCTGTTCCTACCACGTTCTCCAATTATTATGGAGAGATTTTGGCATGAAATTTTTCATTTTCTTAGACAGTAAAGAATCTCATCCTGCTTAAATCTTAAAATGAACGGAACTTTGAAGTGCACTGAAATATCTTCCATTAAATCCACTTCACTAATTCCTCATTTTGACTGGTTAGAGGACCTCTCTATTTGATGATATGAAGTTAATAACATCCAATGAGATGTTTGTGAGACGTATAAACACATTTTAACCTTGTCCAATGGGGGCTTGAGTCACAAGCAGATGCAAAGAAGAAGAGATTCACGTACAAGCCAAGAATCTATCTACTAAACAAAATCAATAATCTCATCTCTTAGATACCTTTTTTGCATGTAGCAAGACTTAATCGCATGATAACCAAATTAATACAATAGTGTTGTGCAAATATTTCTCCATAACATTATGCAGCATTAACAGAGTCAGTGCACGTGCTGAGGTCACGTCAATTTGAAATTTTTTACTATTTTCTCTAAATAACATATGACCAAGGAAATGTATTTCTGGTTATACGCTAGCAACAAAGCCAGATCTCCTCAGTGTGTAATGTTGTCATCACATAACTCATGTGTAGGATCAAGATGGGAAAGCTTTAGAACAACTGACATCACAAGATATATGCATTAACAGTAACAACATCTGGAGACTGGAATAGAACTCATAAAGCTCATGTGTACCAGTCAACCAGTGAATATGGCATACTCATTCAGTATCCTAATTATTCACTATTTTCATTTTTTATAATGGAAACTGCTTAAGTGAAAATTACATTAAAAAAATGTATATAACAAAAGAATTGAGTGACCTGGTGTATAATAATGACTCGCTTCCAACAAATAACAGAAGAATAGCCCAAATTCAACTAGTTCACAAGCCTGAAGAAAAATTCTGCTTAACACGTAAGCTTTCAAACAAATCTTGAACATAATTGGCTTTAAACCTCAATCTTTAATCACAAGTAATGAAGGATTAGTTCTAGATACCAGCATTATCTTTTTCACATATAATTTCTGCATTAAATTTTTGTATATTTAAAATGTCTATTATCTAATATACTTGCAATGGTCAAAATGTTCCCTAAGAAATAATTCTGTAGACTATTTGATGGGAATCCCAGTGCAGATATTATTTAATTTAATTTACAAAGTGGAGACTTATTTTAGAAAACATAATTAAGGTTTAATTAATAGATTTTCTAGTATTTTCCTACCTAAATTAGACTAGTTAGGCTTATTGATTGTAATAGTTAACCTTTGACATTGTGTAAATTGATTTTTTTTCCCTCTAAATTCTCTCTCTTCTTCTCTTTCTCAATCTCGTTCTTATTCGATTGTGTTCTATGTCACTACTATAAATAGCTTAACAGTTAAACATCGCACATAGAATAACACTAAAATATTAGAAAACTAACATCACCAACCACAATTATATAACATTGGCTATTGAACCAAATAAAAATTTAACAAGCTCGAGGTATGAGATTGGTAAATTACCCCAGTGACCTTGACGTACTGTCCATCAGCGGCTCCTCGCAGCTCGACATCTGGATACTTCTTTAGAAAACTTAGAACCCCCCTCTTTCTGGAAGCATAATTCCATATTAAAACCACCACCGCAGGAACTAAAACTGCCACCACTGCCACCAAAATCACCGGCTTCTTCACCGCTGCCATAAGGAACGCCCCCACCACCAAGCCCATAACTACCACCACCAAGAACACCCACATTGCCACCCTCGAAACCTTGAAACCTAATTTCACATCCTCCCCCAAGTTCGTTACCGCCGAGCCGTATTGAGCTTTACTAAACGAGATATGCCCGGCGGACGGACTGTCGAGCTTACCGGAGCGGCGGTTGGAGCTGGATGACCCCAATGGGCCGGAGGTAATGAGACCCGTGGGCTGAATAGGCGTAATGGGCCCTGAGAACGAGGAGGAAGAAGACTTCTTGTTAACTAGAACAGAGTTTGGGCCGGATCTAACAGATCCACTATTCTGCTGAGAAGATGAAGAGTGCCGGGAAGGAACTTTAGGCGGAGCCGGAGGGTGATCACCACTTGATATATCTATGCCGTACATTTTTCCTAGCTCGCCAGATTTCTTAACGTCGCCGCCAGTGTACGGTACGGCGCGTGAAGCCACTGTCGGTTGGCGTTCCTTAAACAGCTGCTCCGGTCGACCCGAGACGTAGAGTCCATTGCTTAGCTGGTGTGACCCGGTTCGAACGTTCATTTTAGTGTGAGAAACTTACTGAACTGAGTTTGGAGAAAGAAAAAGGATCTTGAATAATGCTCGTTGAACAGAAGCATTGACAAGCGATGGATGATGGCTGACAGTGATTGGATATTGATTTTTTTTTAAAGCATTTAATTATTTGTTGACACGTGTTCATCATTGAGTCTAGGACTAGACAAATCTCAATTGGACCAAACGAGACCCAAATCAAATCGAGTTATTATTCTTAAGTTGAATATCTGAACAAGTATCTAAATTGAGAATCGACGAATTCGATTCGGTTTTCAATCTATATCAAAAATCGAAAAACTGAATAAGAATCAAATATTCCTAATTTTTTAATTTATTTATTTTAAATAAGTCAAATTATTTTTTAAAATAAATTTGCTAACTAGTTAATTAAGTTTAAATTCAAAAATATGATTTTCATATTTCTAATTTTCAGTCGAAGTCCAACTTAATTAAATTGATCTAAATTTTATCCAAATTTATCATTCTACTGTAGAGCCTTTTTATTGTTATGGAGAAATTAAATTAAAACTCGACAACGCTTTTTTTATTATTATTATGAACTCGCTATCTTCTTTTTTCTATAATTTTAACAGTCAAATCTATGAAAAACTCAGTAAAGAGAGATACAAAAGACATATAAAATTGGAGTACGTTATTTTGTAAGAGTTAAGATTAAACATGTTATTTATTGAATTAATGTAATTTTGTAAATATTAAAAAAATTAATTATAGTATAAAACATAGGAATCAAATGGAACCGAATCAAAATGAATCAAAATCGAACAGTTTCATAATTAAATTTAAACTCAACAGTTCCACTTTTTAAATACTCGAAAATTTTGGGTCCAATTCGATTCTAATGAAAATCGAATCGAATCGAATTATACCCAACCCTAATTGAGCTTATCATTGTAACAAGTTTGATCTTTTAGTGCGAGCGAGTCTAGGTGGAAGAAGTTGATAGTGAAATGACAAGAAAAGACTAGGAGTAAATGACGTTTGTGACCTTTTCTTTGTATTGGAGTACCGTATGCCTTGTTTGACAATCTTTAAAAAATTTAATTGTTTGCCACAATATAATTATTCATCAAACATTCACACAATAAAATATTTAACATACAAATCAATAAAATTTCTTTACTTTTTAGCTACACATTTTCTGAAAATGCTATTCAAAACTATTTAATTTTTCAAATAAAGGAAGTCAAACATGTCCTATGCTCTGTGACTTGCTGTGGATTTGCACCATATTAGTTTTAGGTTGTTGGTTCGTGACGCCAGCAATTTTATTTTATATTCATAGTTGGATTAAACTCCTGTTTGTTTTTCGTTATTTACTCATTAAAATAAAAAATATGATCGTTATTCATCAAATCAAGCCACCATATTTGAAAATCTATCTCTTATATTGGACCCGTAATAACTATATTTTTTATTCTCATTCTTATATTAATGTGGCTCAAACATGGTTTAAGCTTTGTACATTTAAATTCATACATCTTGTTTGATCCTTCTATATGTCAAAAATCTAACCATTATTTAAAAAATAAATTATTATAAAATTAATGTTTAAATATTTGTCTACTCACTGAAATTCAAACTAAATCTAAAGAACGATGTACATATAGTATGATTATTTTCAATTTGCCCTCGATTGTTTATAGAATAGCCAAATTGCTTGTCCTGACATTACTTTTTACAAATTACCCCTCTTCTACTTAAAATTAGGTGGACACGATACGGTTTAATCAAAGAGATCCAAATCAAGTGTACTAATAGATATCTTAAAAATAGAACTATTAATTCCATCTCTATGGAATTATTACTTTTTGCTCACCCTTACTTAAAATTTTGTGTTTCTTTTTTTTTTTTTTTTAATATGAATTAAGAACGGAATTTCTTAATTTTTAGAACTCGAAAGGAAGGCATCAGTTAGTTTATAGTATGCTTGCCTTAATCGTGATTTGATATTGTTCTCTACCCTAATTTAAATAAATGGCATGGAACAAAGTAGTCCCTGTTTAATGATCATTATTTGGGAAAATAATATTTTGAATAGTAACTTTTAGAAAAATATATGTTTAAAAAGTATGAAAAAATTTTGAATTTATGTGCAGAATATTTTATTGTATGAATGTATGATTAAAAGCAAGTATATAGAAAAAAGAGTTTTTCAGGGTCCCGTGATATTAGTAGAGGTGCGCGTAAATTGGTTCAAATACTCACGGTCATAAAAAAAAATAATAATAATAATAATAATAATAATATATATATATATATATACACACACACACGTAAATAATATACACGTAAATAAAAAACTTTTCATTCTTTTTTCAACCAGACATTTTTCAAAAAAATACTATTACAATCATTAAAATTTGACAAGAATGAGGGCTAAGTCTCTCGTTTGAGCCTCATTTTATTTTTTAAATAGATTTAAAAAAATAATTTTCTTTTAAAAATGCGTAGTTAAAAAGTAAAAAAAAAAATTACATGTGAAATTATTTCTTAAAAAATATATATAATTAAAAATGACTTCGAAAAAATTAAGTTTTAGACAAAATAGGGCTAGAGCTAAAGTTTCAAAATAAAGATGGCAAACCGACTTGCTAGAATTGACGAGGAGTGAATTTTCTGCCTTGTTTGGTGGGTTCATGGATTAAAATCAGATTTTCAGTAAATTTTAATAAATGTTGATGAAATTTATAATTGAAAAGTTATAAATGAAATAAAATGTGCGATTAAATTTATTTGTTGACTTTGATTTAAATTAAATTTTTATTTTTATTTTCTATATACAGGGACAGACTAAAATGACTAATCTATCCTCGTAATTCAATCTTTTCTCTGTCATTCTTTTGGATTTACAGTGATTTTGTGTCGGTCATGGTATGGGTCAGGTCCCATAATTGGATACAGATTGTGGCCAGAAAACCCTCATGTGAATAAAAACACCAATAGAGTTGCATGTATAGAAATCATTTGCACAGAATTCTGCCACAACACACAACATGGGGCAGGTGTGTGGTTTTTTGGCATTATTTTATCACCCACATGGAGCCTACCATGTGAGTAATCTAATGGACTTCTTTAGCCTTCTTTCTGTACAAAGGGCTTGAGTGTAAAAACACAATTATATTGAAGGTTGGTGGTTAGAATGAAAACTTGTTGCAAATAATGGGTGTGGGGACTTCAATTTTAAGCATTCTTAGAATTTTCCTTTTTCTTTTTAGTATTATTAAGTGACATTCAATTTATCTACCAAATATATCATAAATGACATTTTTCATATGTTTTCATAGGCTTAAAGGTTTAAGCAATAGATAATGTTACTTGTACATCAAGTAGTATTCACCCGCATATCTATCCTCCTCACACGAAAGGGGGTACACTTTGAATAAATCATATTTTATATGAAGCAGGTCTCCCTACATGTGAGGGAGATGGGCACCCCGATGTACATGTAACATGACTCGTAAGTTAGCCCCCATTTTGTGGACATGAAAATTAGTGAAATAGTATTTTTTTTCGAAAAATGAGTAGTTTATAAAAAAGGAAAAGTTTTCGATCTACATGTAATATTATTTTATAGAAGATTGTGTGGTTAAAAATATGAGAAAGAAATATGAAATGTAATGGAATGAAAATTAACGGAGGCCAAACGGGCGCCAATTATAGTTATGGCTTTCAAATCTTACGTCTAAGAAAGGTGGGGGGTCCTCTGCTTTTGTAAGCTAAATGGATTAGAGCATCGCATTAACTTTCCAAATGTTGTATTATATTATACAATGAATCGCCACTCACAGTTCTAAGACCACTTTGCGTAATACTTTTAATAATTAAGAAAACTTATTTTTTATTTAAAATTCAATGGAAAATATGTCGTAAAATGAAATAATATTCCGAAGTAACAATCATGATATACAATTAACACTGAACTTTTTATAAGAAAAATCTTGTTACATATACTTAAATTTCAAGCAATATTTGAATTTATTTGTTTTTTTTTATTTTATTACGATTAAGTGATATTCAATTTATCCTATCAAACATATCATAAATGACATTTTTCATAAATTTTTTTTAGAGATTTTAAGGTTTAAGTTATGAATAATGCTACTTGTTCATAAGGTGTTACAGAAAATTTTACAGATATATAAGGTATCAAGAAGAAATTGGAGGAGATATTTTTTGTGCTATATGTAAATAGTTTATGTACACATGATGTTGTAACATATAGTTGGGTTAGAATTTCTTTAACCAAATAATTAAAAAAAAAATCTCATTATCTTTTTAACGCTTCATCTATATGAAAATCATTATATAACTCCATTATGTACAAGTATTATTATTCTTTTTTTTTTATTTGGTTGAAAAAATTTTGACCAAATCATATCTTATTACATCATGAGTATATACACCAATCTGTAAGTAGTGGTGTACAAATAAGACAATCATTAAGTTATTATTGCTTTTCGCCCCCAGGGCACATCTACAAGTGGTAAAAGGGGAGGGTGGAGAAATCCAGCTTTACTTGAGGCTACCACGTTAAGAGTTCGAATCCTGAAATATGGATTTGGCTCTTGGGTAAGTGTAAGTATACAAGCAGCCTTCCATCCTGTACCCTTGAAGGCACAACCTGTGATTTACCTCCCTCACGATACTTCAGAGGAGGGGCAGTGAGGGACCCTTAAGGTTGGAGTTCAACCTTTATTATTGTTTTTCGCTTTCAAATCGTACGTTTAAGAAAGGTGGGGGTTCTTTTGCGTTGTTAAGCTAAATATAAAAGAGCGTTATATTTGGTCGGTCATGTGCATGACTTTCCAAATGTAGTATTATAATACAATGAATCACCACTTATAGTTGTAGGACCACTTCGCATAATATATTTAATAATTAAGAACTTATTTTTTTCTTAATTTTCAATAGAAATTATGTCGTAAAATGAAACTTATTATGAGAAATCAAGATGTACAACTCATTGCCGCCTCATTTTCTATGCCATAATACTGAATTAAAATGTGAAAATTTTGTCCATTCATTATACGAATCAATGCATATGCAGATTATAAAAATTGGCTATCTGTCGCTCGCTCACTCATTATAAAATATAACAACATTGTGCTTGTGATCAATATTAATGTTACAAGACATTAGAAAATTTTAAACATAATTTATCAGGACTTGAATAGGTAAGCTATGAGAAAAAATAATAATAGCCATATAAAAGAGAAATAGATGCATTGATTATTAGGTCTATACTATTAGTCCCTTATTGATTGTGATAATTTCGACATAGATGGTGCCTTGCTTTTTGTTGATGCCATGGCACCGGGGTATGGAATTTTGCCCTTTTGGCCAGGTGATGAGATGTTATTGTATTGGTGTGTATGTGATTGGCACATTTGGCCAAGTTATGTGCAAGGAATTTGTGCATTCGATAGGAATAGAAAATTATGCAATGTGAGATTTACTTGATGACATCATTCGCATGCACAGAATTTCTTGGCAGCATGTGCGGGATTGCCAATGAGTGAGCGGAATTTCTCGACGCCAAGCAGAAGATGCAGAATTTCTCGACAACATGCGCGGAATTGTTATGAATAAAACTTTTATGGGAGTTTAAATGTATCGCCTTTACATTTAAAAATTATAAAATTGTTCAAATCTGACTGTTTAATTACTAATTACATCAACCAATCATTTTCTTCTCTCGTCTCAATATTAGCATGCCGTTCAAACTTTCGCTATCCCATTTAGCCAAGAAAGGCCTTCTTCCTAAGGACTTTACTAATGTTTTCATTTATTCTTATTGCCCTTATGTGGAAAATGATTAGTACTGTCACACACTTAATCAAGAGGGAGAAAGAAAAGGAAAATAGTTATTTTTGTGTAATTTTAAAGTATATTTCCTAATGATATTCATATCAATTTTTTTTATTGCAAAATTGCCGTTGCAGTGATTTTTTATTTTTATTTTTTCAATTTCATATGATATCAGATTTTTTTCCCATTTTTTTTGCAGTTATTCTTGTTTTTAGTTTGATTTTAAAATAATATATATTTTTGTAGTTTTGTCGGCACACATTAGATGGAATTGTATTGGACCAAAAATCTGTCCAAAAAGTTTGGTGTGTATGTTGTAGGCACCTTTGGCCATGTTATGCGCAGAGTTTGCGTGATGTGCGAGGAATTTGTGCATTCGATAGGAATAGAAAATTATGCAGTGTGTGATTTACTTGATGACATTGTTCGTATGCACAGGATTTCTTGGCAGCATATGTGGGGTTGCCAATGAGTGAGCAAAATCTCTCGACAACATGCGTAGAGTTGTTATGAATAAAACTTTTTACGAAAGTTTATATTTATATGTATTACGGTCACATTTAAAAATTTATAATATTGTTCAAATCCGACCGTTTAATTACTAATTACATCAACCAATTATTTTCTTCTCTCATCTCAATTAGTGCTGGACAAAACTCTCGAACCGAACCGATCGAACCGAACCTGACAGTTCTTCTCAAGTTAAATACCCGAACGGGTATTTGAATTAAAAACCGACGGGTATGGTTCGTTCTCGGTTCTAGGCCAAGACCCGAAGAACCGAATTTTCGTAATTTTTTTAATTAATTTATTTTAACTAAGTAAAATTATTTTATTTTTTCTAAATAAATTTGTTAACTAGTTAATTTAGTCCAAACCACAAAATATGATTTTCCTATTTCTAATTTTCAGTTCAAAATCAACTTAATCAAATTGATCTCAATTTTATCCAAATCTGTTATTCTATTGTAGTGTCGTTTCTACCGAAAAAAATCGAATTAAAGCTTTATAACATCTCTCTTAATTATTTTGAGCTCGCTATCTTTCTCTTTCTATGATTTTAATAATCAAATTTATGAAGAATTCAGCAAAGAGAGACGTGAAACACATAAGATTGAACGTTATTTTGTAAGAGCTAATATTGAACATATCATTAATTAAATTAACATAACTTTGTATATATTAAAAAATTTAATTATAATACGGAATCGAATCGGACCGAATCGAGCCGAATGGAACCGAACCCGAATGGTTCTATAATTAAATTTGGACCCGATTGTTCCATTTACTAAATACCTGAAAATTTCAGGTCAGTTCGATTCTCACTAGAACCGAACCAAATCGAACCGGACCATGTCTAGCCCTAATCTCAATATTAGCATGCCGTTCAAACTTTTGCTATCCCATTATGCTACATAGAAGTTTAGCCAAGAAAGGCCTTCTGAAAGAAGTAAGCTAAGCTTTCTCGTTCTGAGACCTTTTTTAGATCTGGGAAAACTTAACACTGGACTGGACCCGAGAGAACCGACTAGCAAGCCGTCTGATGATGTTCTGAATCATGTTTTCATTTATTCTTCTTATTTTGTAGTTATTGCACTTATGTGGAAAATGATTAGTACTGTCACACACTTAACCCAGAGGGAGAAAAAAAAAGGAAAATAGTTATTTTCTTGTAATTTTAAAGTATAACTCCTAATGATATTCATATCACTTTTTTCTTTTTCTTCTTTTTTCATTGCAAAATTGCCGTTGCAGTGATTTTTTTTTTTCAATATATGATATCAGATTTATTTATTTATTTATTTATTTTTACATCTTATTTTTATGTTGGATCTATTTTTTTTTATTTTTTTTCACTTTTTTACAGTTATTCTTGTTTTTAGTTTGATTTTAAAAGAATATATATTTTTGTCAGCACACATGAGATAGAATTGTATTGGACCAAAAATCTTTCCAAGTTTGGTACACTTGATCAGATCTAGACTTCCTTATCTAGTAGAACAGCCCAATCAGGTTTATTGACAAAGACATCACAAAACCAACTTGCACCCCACGGACTAGCAATTGCATTAATAACACATTTTACAATATTTTCCTAGAATGTTAAAAAATGGAGAGATAAAAGCGTTAAGACACATTTTGAATCGTACAATTTTTATCTCGTATGGTTCGACAAGAAAACATAAGAGAATTAGATCATTCAAAAGGGAAAATAAAGTTGGTTTGTCCGAAAATTTCGACATCTCAATTGACTGACCTTCACATTGCGCTTGGATCCCTGTGAATTAAAAATGCTGACCCCCCCCATATGTGTGTATTCGATCATCCCCTATGTCACCCCTTGTGTTCGTGTAGTAAAACTCTCAAAAAGAAAGTGATAACCCACCTCAGGAAGTACAATATATGTTGAAAGGCCTAATATTATACTCGAATTAAACTACACTTACACATTCTTAACACTATTTCCCTTGACAACTAACAGTATATTTGTGTAACTTCCTCATTCTCGTATAATTTTCCCTTCTTTGTTCTTTATATTGTGTCAAAGCACTCTCAATAAATAAAATCCTCACCGTTCGTTTGTAAGAAATTATTTCAAGAAAAATTGATTTTTTTTTTTTGGAAAAATGTATGGTTAAAAATGGGAAAAATTATGAGATAACGTCCAAAATTATTTTATTTGGAGAATGTGCGGTTGAAAATGAATTTGATGAAAAATAATTTTCCAATAAATTGTGTCCAAGAAACGCTTAATTCATTAAAACTAGTAAAAAGTGTCTAATTAAACCAAATTAGGAAATTCCTGGTGCCAAATTAGGAAAGTGCATTTGCTTCATTACATAACTTTATCCATGGAATCAATCTGCCACTTGTCTTCATCACAAAATGGCTACCTGTTAAAACTTTATAAAACAAATCAACATTTTCAGATTTTATTGATGACTTAATTACTTGTCTTCTATAAAGCGCTTAACTTTATAATTAAGCTATGTCCTCTTAATCAAGTAAGCATTGAATGATGCATAAGAAAACTGAAGAGTTGGATTCCCTTGGAAAAGAATACTTTTGAAACAACAATTCACGGGACATCTCTGAAATTATCTTCTTCTGCCCTTTACCTGATCATGTTATGAAAAAAGCTAATTCAACAAAGATGAGAAGTTCTTGAATATGGAGCTGTCATCTGGTTAATACATGAAATCCCAGCAGCTCTTTTCTGTATTTTTCTGTAGAACCAATGTTCCTAAACCAGTTCATGCACTTTCTAAAATCAAATCACACGTTCAGAAGGAAAGTTTCTTTTGATTCTGTGTTTTGACCCTTCTTTCTTTGTCAATTCTACGTACTAGAGAAAGATTTGTTTATATATTCAATGGCTACCTCGTGTTTCAATCCGTTTCGGCTGCGCAGGTCGAAGAGCAAATCTTTATCAATTCCTTCTACTTCAAGAACGCAGTTAAGCAATGATGCAGATAATATGGAGAGGAAGAGATATGACAGTTTGGAATCTTGGTCAATGATATTGGATTCTGAGAATTTTGAGACTTGGGAAGCATCTGAAGATCAAGAGGAATGGACGGCTGATCTTTCTCAGTTATTTATAGGCAATAGGTTTGCTTCTGGTGCACATAGTAGAATTTACAGAGGAATTTATAAGCAGAGAGCAGTTGCTGTAAAAATGGTGAGAATTCCAACTCATAATGAAGAAACTAGAACTTTACTTGAACAACAATTCAAGTCGGAAGTTGCCCTTCTTTCGCGTCTTTATCATCCCAATATAGTGCAGGTTAGATTTCCTTATATCTTTGTGAACAATGAAAATCATACAATTTAGATAAACTAGTCATTCTGGAACAACACACAAAATTTCAACTTCTTTTATACTTAATCCTGTCAATTCCAACCCGCCAAACATGTCTTTATAGTAATTCAGACTTTGTCTTGATGCACTTCTGACAATAATAGTATTTCAAGAACTAGTCAATACCATTACCAGCAAATGATTTTGACAAAATTAATTTAGCTTGCAGCTGTGTAGAAACTTCTTACGGTTACCTATTTTTTGTGTGCAGTTTATTGCTGCTCGTAAAAAGCCTCCTGTATACTGTATCATTACTGAATACATGTCACAGGGGACTCTAAGGATGTATCTCAACAAAAAAGAGCCATACTCACTTTCAACCGAGACAATTCTTAGGTTAGCCCTCGATATATCACGAGGAATGGAGTATCTTCATTCACAAGGGGTGATACACAGAGACCTCAAATCAAACAACTTGCTATTAAACGACGAGATGAGGGTTAAGGTTGCAGATTTTGGCACGTCTTGTCTAGAAACTCAATGCAGGGAAGCCAAAGGAAACATGGGAACTTACCGTTGGATGGCACCAGAGATGATCAAGGAGAAACTTTATACTCGGAAAGTTGACGTGTATAGTTTTGGGATCGTCCTATGGGAGCTCACGACAGCCTTGCTTCCTTTTCAAGGAATGACTCCTGTGCAAGCTGGTTTTGCTGTGGCCGAGAAGGTTAGATTTATGACTGCTACTTAACTTTTAAACGAAATGGTTGAGCATAATCATATCTGACTCATTTTTTATTCTTCTTTCTTTTTCCATTTTGTAGAATGAGCGACCGCCATTGGCAACAAGTTGTCAACCTGCGCTCGCACACCTTATCAAGCACTGCTGGGCAGCAAACCCGTCTAAGCGTCCTGATTTCAGTGACATTGTATCTGCTCTGGAAAAGTACGATGAGTGTGTAAAAGAGGGTCTCCCACTTACTCTTCACTCAGGGTTAGCAAGTCGAAACACCATTCTTGAATGCTTAAAAGGCTGTGTATCCATGAATTCATCTATACCTGTACATACCTGACTCTTTGGACAGGCATTCACATTTGTATCTCCCTGTTAATTTGGCTTTTACCAAAGTTGATAGATTGGTTTGTACTTTTTGACTTTATAATCAGCATCAATAGCTGTTGAATGGTGGCAGGGCCGGTCCTGTAATCATGGGGTTCGAGACGAACTCCATAAATTGGCCCCCAAAATCAACGTAAATCAAGATCCAACGATGTACTATACAACCAATTGTTAACTTAAAATTTAATGTAAAAGACATTTACAAAACATCTCAATTATGGGAGGATTCTTTTATATTAATTAGTGGGTTTTACCATAAAAAAAAAAAGTTGGGGCCTGAGGCAGCGGCTTGTTGAGCCTATGCTCAGGTCCGGCTCTAAATGGTGGTGGGGATGAACCTTATGATCCTGCTTGATAGTACTAGTATTGAACAACACCACAACGGATAAAATTTAATATCTCTTTCATCGTTAATACTGTTTAGCATCCATTCATATCTAATGATGCTCAAAATTTATAAATAGTCTGTTCAAATGCTCTCAATGTAGGTTACTGATTCACAATGCTGCTGAAGGTTTAAATTTTATATATTTTTATTATAAGATTGTAGCTGTCAAAGATTATATTTTTCACAAAGTACTGTGCAAAACTTTTGGCTGAGGTTTTTTCATCTACTTATCTCCAAAATATTTGGAGATACACACACAAAAGGTTACTAATCTAGTCTAGCCTATGTTTTTCTTTAAATCTCGTCATTTCTTTGTCGGAGCCAGGATTTTAGTTTAGTGCGGGCAAAAATTTTTTGACGACGAATGTTGAGGTTTTGGTCAGGGATTTAATGACGATAAAAAAATAAAACAATAGTACATCAATACTAAAAACGACATAATTTATATATTACACTTGTTCTTTGCGAGTTTTCATACTTTGATATCGTTGTATAATAACTTCATTATTGAACCTGAAAAATATATCTTTCTCCGCATAAACAATTGTACTATCATTCATCCACTGATCACCCAATTACTATTAGGAGTGGGAGTAATTCGAGATGTCAAATGAATCACAAATACTGGAAGCAACTCAAAAAACTAGTGCAATTCACAGTTTCACAAAATCAATTCACAATTTCACAATGCAATATATACTATTTCCAAATACTTGGCAACTTGAACTTTCAATCACAGATTCCCAGAGAGTCAGAGCCCAGAGGCAACAATGAACTGGTGGTCCACCGGAACTTTGTGCCGCTTCGAGCAATTAAAGAACAAAGTGCTAATTTAATATGTTAAAAACAAAAAACAAAAAAAAAAATTATTACAATTTACACAAATTGAAATAACCAAAAAAAAAAAAATAAGGGAAAAAATTTTGGGGCTTCGCCTTTTGTTTTCTGGAATCTGGCTTCTTCTTTTGTCGGCTTGACTGGTTGGCGTTGGCACTTGGCGAAGCTGAGGATGTAAAGTTGGAGTCAGAGATGTGAGATGTCAAGATGAGAGCTTAGAGTAGGAGATATACAATAATGGATTGTCGGAAAGGGAAAGGGAATGACGGTTGTACTGTGACGACGGTTGACGGAGAGAGAAGGGAATGGCGGGCTTTGTCACCGATGGAGAGGGAAGTGGGTGGCAAAGTGTGAAATCGTCACAGACAGAGTCATGAAGGGTAAAAATTTTGAAATGAATGAATGGGTTTGAGTCAACAATTGATTCAATTGAATTTTGATATGAATGGGTCTAAAACGGGTCATGATCTTGCACAATTGGACTTCTCTCTCTATGCTGGATCGAGAATTGAGTTACCTGGTTAAACAAACAAACAAACCTTTAAAAAAAAGAATTATTTTTTGGCCCAAAAGTCCAGTGCGGGCTGCCCGCACTGGACGTATAGTGGCTCCGCCCCTGGGTATAATGCACGCAGGCTATTGTTTGAAGTTGGTAAGTTATTGTTTCTTTTTTCGTAACTATGCTAGATTATTAATATTTAACTGTTTTGGGGGAAGAATTATAGAGAAGAAAGTTCAAATTCTGAATAAGACTTCATAATTTGCTACAGTTAATTCTTACTGTTAACGTTGAAAGTTGCCGAGACTTTCTACTCAACGAAGCGAACAAAAAACCTTGTTGTTTCTGGAAGAAAAACTAAGGTTAGCGATAAATTTGTTTTGAAATTGACCAAACTAAGGTAAAGGGCCATGATCGTTCACTAGTAAAAATTATATACAACCCTCCGATTCAAGTAAAAAAGTTGATTAAAATATGAGTCAAAATCAACAATTAATTTTAACTACATATTTTATAAGATTCACAGCTTCTTCAACTACACATTTTATCGACTTTTATTAAAATTTACTAAAATTTTGATTTTTATCTAAACCAAACAAGGGCATGGTCAATAAGCTACAAGGATTAGGTAGGTTTAGGTTGATGCTCTTATCATTGCCATCACGGTCATGTCCTCGTTTGATATCCTATGACATTTTAGGATTTCGGGAGGCACTAATGTTTGTGTCCGACTATCTTTCCCCAACGCGAAGCACATTGGATAAAGGAAGGAGTTAGAAGTGTTTTTCAGTATGAGCGATGTTGTAAGTTGAAATTGCTCAAGTTGGATGATTGAAGCCGACCAAGTCGACTTGGGTAAATTTCCCCGAATGCCAATTTTTGAAGCGAGTCAGTTTATAGCACGAAGAGAATAGGGTTGATTAATTGGGATCATGATTTAAGCTAAGTCTGTTTCAAAATAACTTGAAATACTTTAACTTAATGGGCTAGGAAAGTTTGGGAGATAAATTTTCTACGTAAGCCCAAAACTATATAAGAAAAAATGGGAAAATTATCTCAAAATCTTCTTTTATGTTGTAAAACTACAAGATAAATATTGATAACTACGTAGTCTTATCATTATGCATAAATAAGCATTATCTAGTTTGGAGAGTTTATTTCATTTCAATTGTAACTCTTATTTGAATCCTATAAAATGGGGTCTTGATTATTAATAAAATACACAAATTAATTGACTTCTCTTCTTTGTTCTCTCTTTCTCTTTCTCTTTCTCTTTCTAATTTACAATACGTTATCAGCAAGATTCTCTAAAATTTATAGCAAATTAATTTGAAAGTAGTCTATAGCCAATCTCAAATCATACACGTTATTATTATTATTTTTATTATTATTATTATTATTATTATTATTATTATTATTATTATCTTTTTGGGACGCCAATCAATACCTTTGGGTGTGGGGCGGAGGATTCCACGAAAGATCAATTGGCTCGACGTCGTTTAACAGGTTGCTGTAATCAATCAGATCAGACCAGCAATTCTCGTCGAATGAATACAAGTGATGATTATCCATTCTGAAAATCGAATGGGAAATGTACAGAAAAATGGAAAAATTTATTTTGTGTTTTAAAACTATGAGATAAATATTAATAATAATGCAATCTTTTCATTTATGGGTCTTGATAATCAATATAATATTACTTCTCTCTTTTGTTTTCCTTTTTTTCTCTTTAATTTATAATACGTTATTAATATGATTCTCCTAAATTTATAGCAAATTGGTTTGAAGGTAGTCTATTGACAATCTCTAATCATACAAATAATTAATTTTCATGGATTTATTTTTGCCCAATTAATTTTCATTGTCGCATAGCAAATTGATTTCTGCCCAATTTTCTTTGCGTCCGAATTTTTGAAATCTAATCACCAAATTGTGCATGTCCAATCATCATATGGTAGAATAAACGATTATAATTATGCAAATCCAATCACCATAATCAAATTTTTTTTTTTTTTTTGGTTTCTTGTTTACCATTCAATTAATTACCTCGTTATTGCTCTTTTTAATACGAGTATACTTTATTAAATTAATACTCATATGGTTGTCTATTATAAAATATTGTTGCTCATGAAATAACACACTATTATTAATGTTCTAGTTATATTTTATTTGTTCCGGTAGAGCATACTTAAATAAAATTTAATATAAATTATAATTTTTACCCCTGAAGAGTAAATTTTTATACAATTTATTATTTCAAACGATAATATATTATTGCTCCTGAATAACATGACACGTTGATTTCAATATTCCAAAAAAATATTATTCATAGATTTGTCTATTATAAATATTTTGTTCCTCTCGAGTAGTATAGCATATTAATTTTTCCAGAAAAGCATGATATTATAATTTCAATGTTTCAGAAGAATATTGATCGATTTCTATATAAAATCACGAATTAAACTACTCAATTTATATACTTGTACATTCTTCTACATATGTATTTATGTTCTAGAGTATAATAAATTATAAATACGATATAACATATATTATGTTTTTACCACTAAAAAGTAAATTCTCACATAATTTATTATTCTAAATAATAATATGTTATTATTCTTAAAGAGCTTAGGGCCTGTTTGAGCCACATTATTCCAATAAAATACATTTTTAAATAGTGATTTAATATCATTTCAACTACACATTCTTCAATAAAATAATATTACACACAAATCAAAAATTTTTTTTATTTTTTAACTACATATTTTCCATTAATACACTATTCAAGAATGCATTCTTACTAAAATAATGTGGCTCAAACACCCCCTTAATATTATAATGTTCAATATTCCAATAAATATTGATTTATTGCTTTTGAAAAAGTAATAATAAAATATAACGTGCTCTCGAGTAGTACACATCCGAATAATATCTATATATATATTTTATTGTGTTCTTGAAGAAACACAAATTAAATAATTCAATACTGGGTTATAGTTTTTAAAGGAAATTGATTTTCTATATTAATAATATTTAATAAAAATATTAATTTAACGCTCTTAAAGAGTATGAATTATAATTTTCAATATTTTAGAAGAATATTGATATATTGCTTTCGAAGAAGCAATAATTAAAGATTATGTGCTCTTGAATTAGCACATTTGTTAAAAATATATAATTTTGAATTAATATTTATCCCCAAAGGAAAACATATAATTAATATCATAAAAATATTGATTAGTTTGACTAATCAAATGATATATGATTATACAATATTTAGCCCTTGATTGAGCCCCATTTTGGAGGAAAAATGCATTTTTGAATAATGTATTAATGAGAAATGAGTGGTTAAAAAATAAGAAAATATTTTGAGTTTGCATATAATATTATTTTATTGAAAAATGTGTTGTTGAAATAATGTCAAACACC